TGAGGAAAAAAAATTAACTTAAATGATTTTAGCAAATGGCTGCAATATAACAAAGAGTGAAAAATTGAAGGGGGTCTGAATACTTTCCGTACCCACTGTATATATAATAAACACAAATAAATAAATAATAATAATTTAACCTACACACAAAAAAAACTAAAGCAGATGAAGCTATAGCAATCAGTGGATGTATAGCTACAGTAATTCTATGTTAAATGCTAAATACATAATTCTGTGGCCTTACAAAAAAGGCAAAAAGCATGAAGGTCTGCAGCTAAACATGACCATCATTTGGGCATAAGTAGATTATACAAAAAAAGGTAAAACAATCGTACAAAGATCGTACAAATTCATTTAAACTAGCCAGCAAATCAGCAAAACATTGTTACGAATTGCCACTAAATTGTGTTGTAATATACATCTGTCAGTGTAAACAGTAAACTATTAAATTCAATTTAAAACTGGAATCAAATATTGCATTTTATATTCATTTAAATATTTTAAAAAGTTAAATAAAAAAATCACTGTGGACATGGCAATGAGTATGAAAATGAATAATGATTCAGTATATTTAGATGCAGAAAGGTGTGAAGAAACACGAAAACAGAAACAACTCTTGGTCTCTATTGTGTGTGTGTGTAACAATGTTGTTTTAATTGTAGTACGTCCTGTCCTGGTCAGCAGACTGTGTCCCTGAAGTGCAGCAGTGAGTACCTTACACTGTTGCTACATGTTATTGCTGCATGATAATGCTATCTAAGTCTAAACACTGTCTTACTTTCCCTCCTATTCTTTCTCTGTTTAGAGTGTGGAAAGCCACCAGGATCACGGATCATAGGGGGAAATGCGGCTGCTGACGGTCAGTGGCCATGGCAGGCCAGTCTGCATTTCCAAGGGTCTCACTCATGTGGAGGAACTCTGGTGGCTCCAGACTTCATCATTACCGCTGCTCACTGCTTCCCCAAGTCAGTATACATTACATTAGACAGATTTGATGACTAGTCTACATGTTGGAAACAATATCATGGCCGGTAATCCTAATTAAGTTTAATGAATACATTAGCAAACAATATGCAAAAAGCATGGCTGGATGAATAGATGAATGACTTTGCTTTTTTCTCCCTTTCTTAGAGAAACACTAGGCTCACAGTTGCCTAGTAACTGGAGAGTGTATATTGGTTTGGTGTCCCAGCTCCGGCTTCCCAGCCCATATAATTTAAAGCAAATAATTTTACATAAGAATTATGACCCAGCGACAAAAAACAATGATATTGCCTTACTAAAACTCAGTAAAACTGCCAGTAAGTTTATACACACACACATACACAGAATTATGAATACATAAGTACTCATGTGATGTATAATACATAAACTTTTATACAAATCATAGCTTAACTGACATAACCTTAGCTATTAACCATACACAGCACTGTCTAAATTACAGTACCATAAACAGATAAATCAAAGAGGCACTTCTGACCACTGACACGTTTTGTAAATACTGTTAAAAGGTAATATACAGCCTGTCTGCCTGCCTGTGTTTGGCCAGATGTTTCCTGCTGCCAAACAGTGCTGGACCACAGGTTTTGGAGTTACCAAGCAAGGGGCTGGTATGTAATGTATATGTAGGCCAATGTATTTTGTTGAGTTTGGATGTATTGATTTATGTATTAATAACGCTGGCCTTAACATGTGTGTTTGCAGATAGTAGTTCCACTCTTTTGATGGAGGTTGCAGTAAACCTGATAGCCTCAGCTGTGTGTAACTCACCTACTGTTTACGGCGGACGTATCACTGAGAACATGCAGTGTGCAGGAGATCTTAAGGGAGAGAGAGACTCCTGTCAGGTTAGACATGTTCTCATATTCAAAAGCTTAGAAATGCTGCCACCTTTTGGTACAATATTATATTGCAGTTTGAACTTTGTACTGTTTCATATGCTTTTAGTTCATCTTTATTATTTCTTCTTTTTCAATCTCCCTCTCTCTCCAGGGGGACAGTGGAGGTCCACTGGTGTGTAAAGTTGATGACAAATGGTATCTCACAGGCGTAACCAGTTGGGGAGATGGCTGTGGACAGCCGAACCGTCCAGGGGTCTACAGTGACGTAGGGCAACTTTTAATGTGGATATATGGCAAGATGCAGGTAAACACACTTTTGCATTTTTACATGCAAACACACATAATATTGTTCGTCATGAGTTAACATACTTATATTTCCTTTACAAACAGTCTCTTATCATTCTCTTTTTTCTATCCTTGTGTCTTTCTGGCTCCATTTGCTTAATTACAGCAAGAGCGACCATGACCTTCTACTACAACAATGAAGAACAAATCTCCACGTTGTGTAAACATTTTTATGTACTGAAATAAGTTTTCTCATTTTTTAAAATGACGGAGCGCACAGTGACATGCACTTTTGCAGTAAATATATATTTATGTAAAATTTTGAATTCATTATTTAAATAAGGAAGATGTAAATGTGTCTGTAAAATCTTTTATTTTGGGAATACTAGTGTTCTTAAATAAAAACATGGATTACAGTACTGAATCTATCTTGAAGAAAATGCCAGGACATTTAAGCTGTCCAATTCTGTCTAAATGCACTATATAGCCTATTGTGTATTATATGTACTGAGCAGATCTACTATTGAGGAGGAACTACTATTTCCTAGCAATACATGTTACATGTAAAGAGTTTCAATAATATTATAAACTGAATACAGTGGAGCAACATATTGAACTGAAGTCACTTTCACTCTGAGAGTAAAGTAATGGTTTTATTTTAGATTTTTGCTGAAAAATAAAACTGTATTACTGTTCTTGAAGACAATTTCTTTTCCGTCTAAAAGGTGAAAGTTGGCGGGATATTTTAACTTATTCATAATCATTAACTTTAGAAAGAATTCCCCACTTGGTCTTTTTTTTACACGCTGATAGATTTATTTTCCAACTTATTAAAATGAGAGAGAGAGAGAAAACTCACATCTGATTGTTCTTATTTGAAAACAAGAAAAAACTACTGAAGCAATCTGTTAGATTTACGAATACACCCACATGAAACTAAAGTGATTAGTTATGTATTTGTTCTACACTTTTTTATGTGTTCTTTAGGATATGACAGATAAATTTTTAACTACCCAATGAAATAGAACTAACAGATAAACGAACAGTCTCACTGTAATTTATTAACATAATTTAAGATGTATTAACATTACAAAAAGTGTACACTACACAATGTGTGTATATAATTTTTGTATTTTACATCATGAGTTATTTATTTATCTTATATCAGATTATCTGGCCTTCAAAGATTAAATCTGTCTCTGGTCTGCTTGTTTCTCAGTGAGCTTTAATGACCTTGTCAGCTTATTGCAAGGGCACATTCAGCACTGCTCAATGGTTAGATATTAAGAAATGGCCCAAAGGCTTGTTTATGCGCATGTTTTAAGGTTTACTGGATAAGACGGGTCAGAGCGAAGGGTTTGAAGGTCGTTATATAAACGAAACACACACTATTTCTCTCCTCCCTGTGGCTCTCACTGATTTGTCATTCGCTCCACCAGTTACAATTCCACCATCAGAGAGTTTAAGGAGCTCCCTGCACACATTCAAACTCCTCTTTGACTTACACCCTCACACACATATATCACAGTTCTGCAATTATCAACCCTGAAAGCTTTGAGATCCTGCAACACTGCTAAAGATGGGAGTGGGTAAGTTTGATTCAACTTTATATACTGTTTTGAAAATCAGTACTTAAAAACTAAAAGACCTGACCGTGTAGGCACTAAACTTTTAAGTATGTCTTAAAAAAAAAACATATCATATATCACACAAAAAAATTAAAATGATGTCATCTTTCACTCGCCCTTATGTTGTTACACACTTGTATGACTGACTTTTTTCTGCAGAACATAAAAGAAGATATTTTTAAAATTGTTAGAACAAACAATGTTTTGGTTGATTTTTGGGTCAACTGTCCATTTAACAAATTTAGACATGTATTAGAGAAAGTAAAATTAATATTTACACTAGGTTTAAAGTTAACATACCCGTTGTGTGTTCTCTTTTAAGAAAAACCTGAGTATTCAGATGCTGATTTCACCTATGGTAAGAATGTCTGATGCTTAATTATACCCCTTTAAATTAAAATGACAGGACTGTGAAATGATCATAAACTCATTTGAAAATGTGTATTTTGTGAGTGTGAATGTTGGACATTTGATTGCGTCTTATTTTACATATCTCAAACTAAGTAACAGTCCTGCTCTTAACAGCCAGTAAACAGAAGCTAAAGTTGTGCTTTACAACTATTAATGCAAAGTTTTTTTAGAAAAATTTTTGTGGATATCTTGTTTGTAACTATCTGTGTGTGCGCTTATGCCAGATTATGAGTTAATCAGAAGAGGTGGGCTGATCTTTGCAGCTGTTTTGTTCTGTTTGGGCATGGCTATCATATTCGGTGAGTATGGCTAGATTCATGCAATCTACAGCATGTCCTTTCTGCATACATTCTAATAAAAATACAAGCAAACACAGGAATGCACGCACACATCGTTTTTTTCCTTGTATAATCAAACGTTATCTTCTTTTCTGGCAGGCAAAAAGCTCAACTGTGGAAACAAGGCGTCTTCTAAGTAAGGCACATAAAATATTTATACAATAAAAGATACAATAAAAGACACACACACATTCTCCCTCTCTTACCTCTTGGTGTGTCTTCTCTATAGGCTTGAAGACAATGGTGATCTTTGACCTCTCCTTCATTAACCTTCACTGTGAGCATGCATATGCATTATCATACATGGTTACACTTTTGGCAAGCATATTCCTAGCAAGCATTACATCATGTTTTAAAAACTAAATGTCATGACTTTCTGTCAAGAAAGCTTTTTTAAATGGCTTTTAAAAGGTCATGGTCTTTCTTATTTCATTATTTCAGAAACTCTGAATGCATTACAGATTCACAACACATAAAAGTATATTAACAGAATTTTGATGGAAAAGATCCCCATTTATTCAATAACCAAATTCCAGTTCTCTTGCTCCGTTTTCTGCAGGTAAACGGACACCTCAGTAAATTCACCAAGGATGACCATTTTTTCAACGTACAGTGAAGATTTTTTTTCAGATAGTTAATTTTCATTCACAAGATCTATGTATACTGTCACAATAAAATAAAACTCAAATGATCCTTTCTGTGAAATCTACTGCAATTTTAAAGAACATTGTAGTGTCAAATAGTAGGCTATACGTCAAAATCTTGATAACTAAAAGCGAGATTTGACAATGAGCAGTTATTCACATGGTTTCAGAGCACGTGTTACACTCAGACGCATTATATTTTAAGATACTGCTTCACACAGTTATTTTTAGAACTGTATATACGATCACAATCATCTGCAACAACATCAATCACTCTGTCTTTGAAAGGATGCTGGTCGCCTTTAGGTCGGGCCTGCGTCCTCGCGCGCTAGAGCTCGGCTCTTGTAATTGGCTCAGCGCTGTGCTGTTTTCCATGCGCCACTGGGCGAGTCTCGGCTGTCTCCGTAACCCTCTTTCATCCTCAAAAAAGGAGAGCGAAAGAGGGCAGACTCAGAGTTGGGCTCGGGCGTAGGGACCGCCATTATTGGGAGGCTTGGACAACCACTTTCACCCTCACGCACAATGTATATATATCGTAACGTTTAAAGACATGCGTGGCCCAGATTGCTCGTGATTTGGCTACGAAAAACTGGATGTTTTGTCTCAGTGTAAAGGCATCGCTGCATGCCGTCTGCACACGGTAAATCAGCATTTTATGGGCACAACAAAGGGCATTATAACAGATCAAAACCAACGTGCTTAGGCCGGAGGAAGAAATTAAAACAAGCCCTTTTCTGCACGGAAACGACTGGCCTCCGAGAAAGGACATTCTTTGTTTGGATATGTTTAGCCGTCGGTGGATTTTCACAGCCGTTTCTATGCGAACACGAGATCAGTAAGTTGCGCCTGACAAAAATATCCCTTGGAAACTGCAAGTCTGTCAAACCACAATCAAACAGCCCCCACGGAATTTAATGTCCTCGGCTTTTTACGTAGTCTTTTGTTTTCCTTTCTTTATGGTTTCCAACAACACTGACCGAGCCGGTTGTAAGCCCTCTTGCGCTGGCCTGGAAGAGGGATTGAGAAGGGAAAGGGAGGACAGAGAAAGACACTGGTATGTATGTGTATTAACCCCGGCGTTTCATTAACCCAAGTATTAGCGAGCAAAGTAGACCGTGTCACCTACGTGACAGATTTCAGGCGATTAAGAAGCCTATAAATCGAATATCTTTAAATGAGTGGAGTACCTAGTAGCTACAGAAGGACAATTGTATCTACAAATACAAGTGAATACTGTCTATTGTGCAGGCAGCGCCTTGGTTGCACTGAAAACGGATTTATCTTGCGCTCTAATAATCTCAGAATGTTATAAATTGGCAGACTATTTTCTCACGTGATGTGCACCTAGTTAGTCGCTATGTAACGCTGCATTGTAGAATACACCAACGTAGATGAGTCGCGCTAATTTATTATAACTGCATACTCTGATTTAAATACGTGAGGAAAATGTCAAGAGTGTGTAATTTCTCTTGCAGCAGCACAGAGACAGTTGAGCCGCTCATAGGAAGGCAGTTCTGAACCATGACATCCCCATTACGTAGCTTTCTTGCTTAGGCTATGCTGGGCCTAGGCTTTGGGAGTGAAATACTTTAGCAGTTGCTTTTTTTAGGGTTCAGAACTTCACATGTGTATTTTGCTTGAAGAGTGTGCCGTAGGATGTCTTTATTTTGCCATGCACATACAACCACAACCGTGCTTGATGTATATTCAAGCCATATATTTCTCCGTGTCTAACAACACAGTGGGCTACAGCAAGTACAGGGAAGTCAGAACATCAGGTTGTGTCTTGGTGTGTGTTGAAGGTAAGTCTAAACAGCTGGTAGACTCAGATATCATGTAGCAATCAACCAGTATTGTCGCTAGCACGCACTTGGACTGCACCTGACCCGCCTGCGGATCGCCTACTTTGAGCTCTGTAGCCAGACAGAGTCTGTATTTGTGTTTTTAAGTCTACAACACCAGATATTGCATGAGGATTCACCAGCAAAACATTTCCTTCGTGTGGTACTGTACCACTAAAAGTAAACAGGAGTAATACATCGTCCAGGAATAGCTGTAGAAAACGCTATTTTAAATTGCCAAAAATTTTGTTATTGTATTTGGTACAGCACTAAGTGCTTTTTTGTCCTTTCTGAATCTTGAAAGCTCCAGTCCACATTCATTGTAATTGGATGGAAAACAGCAATCAACTATATTATTATAGTTAATAATAACTATACTAGGGGGTGATTACCTTTACTGCTATTTAAGGTTTTCTGTATTTATTATATTGTACCTTAGTATTTTGTATGTAGTATTGTGTAATCATACATTATACAACCTGATCCATATCTACAACCGGAATATCATAGAAGCTTAAATGAAGATTTAATGAATTTACGAACAGCTCAGAATGACTTGGAAACCTTCTAGTAACACCCTGGCAAAGTTTTTGAATTGAAAGTTGAACTGACAAGCACCAGTGACATTCAGATAATTAAATATTGTAAAAGTTGTCATTAATATGCTTTTGGCTGTAAGAATATGGGAGCCTTGGTATTTTATTTACAGTATTGAACTTTGAGATGTGAAGTGACTACTTCAGACAACAGAAGACTTATTTACTGCAAATGAACTAATCAGGAATTTCCTAAGTCTTTAAATAGCAGCACTAGCTAAGGATAACAGTAGATTAATTACATGCTGGCATTATTGCTTATGTCTGCTGTGTAAGAAAGCACCATTATTAAATGGCCAACCAGCATACTGTATGCAAGCAATGTGACCATTTAAATAATAACCATTTTAAGTGTTGTTTTGGAAATTGGGCAACTCGCAAAAACTAAACACAAAATAACCAGAAACTAGCGAACAGTATTCAAATTCAGTGTTCAAATTCAAAGCACATCATGAAACCAAGTGTTAATAGATGATTATGAAGGTCTGTGAAGTGAACTATTCTAACTATAGTAGTCAACATTTGAAGTGGATCAAAAAAGTTAATCAAAGTTGTCCTAAGACAAGAACGGGAGACAGAGTCTGTATTTGTGTTTTTAAGTCTACAACACCAGATATTGCATGAGGATTCACCAGCAAAACATTTCCTTCGTGTGGTACTGTACCACTAAAAGTAAACAGGAGTAATACATCGTCCAGGAATAGCTGTAGAAAACGCTATTTTAAATTGCCAAAAATTTTGTTATTGTATTTGGTACAGCACTAAGTGCTTTTTTGTCCTTTCTGAATCTTGAAAGCTCCAGTCCACATTCATTGTAATTGGATGGAAAACAGCAATCAACTATATTATTATAGTTAATAATAACTATACTAGGGGGTGATTACCTTTACTGCTATTTAAGGTTTTCTGTATTTATTATATTGTACCTTAGTATTTTGTATGTAGTATTGTGTAATCATACATTATACAACCTGATCCATATCTACAACCGGAATATCATAGAAGCTTAAATGAAGATTTAATGAATTTACGAACAGCTCAGAATGACTTGGAAACCTTCTAGTAACACCCTGGCAAAGTTTTTGAATTGAAAGTTGAACTGACAAGCACCAGTGACATTCAGATAATTAAATATTGTAAAAGTTGTCATTAATATGCTTTTGGCTGTAAGAATATGGGAGCCTTGGTATTTTATTTACAGTATTGAACTTTGAGATGTGAAGTGACTACTTCAGACAACAGAAGACTTATTTACTGCAAATGAACTAATCAGGAATTTCCTAAGTCTTTAAATAGCAGCACTAGCTAAGGATAACAGTAGATTAATTACATGCTGGCATTATTGCTTATGTCTGCTGTGTAAGAAAGCACCATTATTAAATGGCCAACCAGCATACTGTATGCAAGCAATGTGACCATTTAAATAATAACCATTTTAAGTGTTGTTTTGGAAATTGGGCAACTCGCAAAAACTAAACACAAAATAACCAGAAACTAGCGAACAGTATTCAAATTCAGTGTTCAAATTCAAAGCACATCATGAAACCAAGTGTTAATAGATGATTATGAAGGTCTGTGAAGTGAACTATTCTAACTATAGTAGTCAACATTTGAAGTGGATCAAAAAAGTTAATCAAAGTTGTCCTAAGACAAGAACGGGTATTGTTTTGGTTTTAGGACAACTTTGATGACAGGTTTTGATCCACTTCAGATGTTGGCTACTGTAGTTTTTTGAGTATTTACATAGTTGTGTAGGATTGCTAGCATAGAAATTGATCTATCAGTCTTATATTGAAATCCATAATCAGAACTTTTGCTTTTTTGATTAGAATTGTATTTCTTATTAATGTTTGTTTAGACTATCATTTCAATATTATTGAAGTACCGTTATTAGAAACATTGAAATGTATTTATGTAAATTGCAAGGTACATTAAGGGATTTAGTGTTTAATGTGGGGTTATACTATATGAATTGAATATCATCTTAATATCTGTGGGAACTTAAGTAGGTTAAAATGCTTTTAAATTTGCCTTTTGTGCCTTTCTCCCTCTTTTTCTCATTTAGGCTAGCCCCAATTCCTGCTTCTGCCTCTTCATGTCTCATCTCTGATTAGTACCCTCTAATATGGGCCGAACATACAAGCAGTTTTCTTGACCTGAAAGGATGATTGAAACATCGGAACTAAATCCTAAATTGTGAATCAAATACAGGGCCTTACTTCAACATTTTATGGACACGTTTTAAAGAGTCTGCCTCTGTTATCCTTTGGGGCATGGCAAGATGAATGCCCGTGTACGATGATGATGGCTAAAAAGCAAGAATCCCGAATGCCTATCTACAACCTCGTTGTTGTTGGCCTGTCAGGAACTGAGAAGGAGAAGGGGCAATGTGGAGTTGGCAAATCATGCCTTTGTAACCGCTTTGTCCGCCCTAGTGCGGATGACTTCCACCTTGATCACACTTCTGTGCTAAGTACAAGTGACTTCGGTGGCCGGGTTGTCAACAATGACCACTTCCTGTTCTGGGGAGAAGTGGGGAGAATTTTGGAAGATTGCGCAGACTGCAGAATGCATGTGGTTGAGC